GAACCTTGTGAAGCACCTTTATTTTTAAGAGTGTGGGGGGTATTCCAGAAAGCAGGTTATGTGACATACCCATGTATGTTTGAGGATAAGAGAGCGGATAACCTTAGCTTTCGGTTCCAAAATCGGAGGTTACTTTCAGGGTATGTAAGTAACTATAGTTGTATGATATGTTAATTATAAAGCGCTTATATAAGTAATAAGGTACTATTATTCGAATATGGTTATTATATTTATTTTATTGGCATATATAACAGTTATCAAATTGCTCTCTGAAGATAACCTGCTCTGGAGCAGGTTATGTTCCAGGGTTTGTTCACTTCAGAGCCATCAACGCACGCGTGACCTACTGACGAGCCTTCAGTGGGCGTGACAGATAGTTTTATTTGCAAAAACACATAGCCTAACTCAGTTTTATAAAATTGTCAAAAATCATGCTTTTTATTATGTTACAATGTCTTTTCTGTGTTAGCTGTTTGTTTGATTTTTTGTTATTTTTTAAACCTAGTCAAAATAACCCAACTGCAGTTTGAGATTAACTGGAATGCACAATGAAAAAACATGATTTCTGAGAATTGTTAAAAACGGAGTTATCCGTTTTTGCAAATTAACTCTTCATATATATTTATTACATTTTATACTATCATCGCACACATGGATCGGCATTTTCTATAATAAAAAAAAGACATATCTGATATGACTTAATATATAATTATCATCAAACAAACAATATAATTCATATTCTCAAGGATTAAAGATTAAACGGAGAAAAAAAAAGAAAAATGATTGCACAACCATCGATTAGGTGGCGATATGCACCAAGCATGTAAACGACCACTGAACAAAAGAAAGAAAGAAACAGCATGGCGTGCTTTTTCTTAGCATCTGTTTCCATAGTGACTTGTCGCTCTGTTGAGAATGTCTCGAGTCTTAACCAGAAACATACTCCGAGTTGAATGAACTTACTCCCGGACGTGTTTTTGGAACCACATACCTCGAATAAGCAAGGTTTGGGGTTAATCAACCAAAAGTTCAGGGTTTAGCTGACTGTAAGTTAACCATGCTTTCTGGAATACTACACCCCAGATGTATCTCAAATTGGTTTATCTTTAGAGTTGGTCTTATCTACCCCATCAGATTGCAAGCAAGCGTCTAGCTGACCAGATCCCAATGGTGATCCGCTATCTGCTGCTCCAGGAAGCAGTTTTGGAGCTTCAAAGGAACATGTTGCAGTTGCTGCAAAATAAAGATGATGTAGCCAATCTGCTTAAAGAAGACTTTGACATTGGCCTAAAGCGAGAGAGCTTACTGAGCCGCCAGGACCGTCTGATGAAAGCACGCAGCCTCTTGCTTACCTTTTAGACTTCAATTCTTATTGTTGATTGCAACAGATTTAATGCAACAAAATAATATGCTTATGATAATCAGCATGGAGCACAACCATGTAAACATGCATGCTGTTTTTTTTTTTTTTTAAATAGCAATTGAGCTCTTTATGAAGAACCATGCAATACATGGTGGATTCTCGGTTTAATCCATTTAATAAAGAATATTAGAAATGTTGTCCAGCTGCTTTTGGCCTCTGAAGTGCATCAATGTAATATGAATGCACTCACTGTTTTCCAATGTCAAAAAGGCCTAGCTCCTACATTGTAGTATCTTTTCATAATTAGTCATTTTCATAATTTACTTACCTACACATTGTTCAAACCTGTAAGGCGTTCTTTCTTTTGTGGAACAAAAAAAAAAAAAAAAAAATCACATTCAGTGGGGTTAAATGTTCTTTGGACCCCAATGTTCGTATTAAAATATGTTTTTGGTTCCACAGAATGCAGTTTTGAAATGATATGAAGTTGAGTAAATGGGTGAACTAAGTTTAATTCTGCTTTCAAAACCTGACTACTACCCGATTACAACATTTAAAAAAAACTTCAATGTGATACCACATCTCTGATTTATTAGCAACTAGAAAATACAATGTCTTGTTTCATTTCTACGAATGAAACTGAATGACTGGACCACTACATTCCTTTGGAAAACAACTATACTATAAGCAAATGATAACGGGTCAGTGTGGCACATACCATATTACACAGCAAAAAAGATTATTCTTAATTTCTCTGTTGCGGTTTGCATCTTACACAAGAAGGTATTATTTAACCACAGTGTGGTTAAAAAAAATCTAATTAGCTACAATAAAAAGATGCTTTATAGTGTAAACATTCATTACATATATACATTTGTACAATTGCCATCAAACGAAGAGACAAAAGGGCAAATATTTCAATGCCAAAAAGCAAGCTATTGTAAGCAACCGGACACTACTGATCTGCCTGGGATTTAAGCTTCCTCTCCCAAAGTTTCTGATGGTCTGAGAATCCTTGCTTTCCTTTGTTGAAGGAATTGGGTCCAGCTGATGTGGGCGTTTCTCTGAAAAGCAAAAAAACTTGTGAAGATGCTGTCATCTTGTGAAATCTAAAATGAAAAGTATTAAAAATATTAAATCCAACCTGCCAATATTCTTCATCCTCATCTTTGCCTCAGGCGGCATTTCTTCAGGCTCGCTCTGAAAAGTAAAAACTGGTCTTTTAACATATGATATTCATTTATATTGTGTTATATATTACTACAAAATGATAAATATCACAAGGACAGCATTAATATTAAATAAATCAATTCTAGAATCATACTTACATCATCATCCTCATTAAAAACAGATGCCAGTCCAGCTTTCTTGGCAGGTAAGGCAGGTGTGGGTTCTTTAGGTTTCTAAAATAATTTTTAAATGTTTAAAATGTAAAAACTCTTTAAAAAAGTATACAAAATAACACAAACATATATATATATATAAACACTACTACTTGTATATAAATGCATATACACAACCCCCCCCCCAAAAAAAAACAAACATATACATACGCTTGCTCCCAGCTTGATAGAGATTGGCGCAGACTTCTTCGCAGTCATGCTAAACCCCGCTTTAGACATTTTAGGGGGTGCTGGCTTACTTTTAGATTCATCTTCGAGGCCAATCTCATCAGCAGACCGCTTTCGCAGACTGTCCCCTGATGCCGTGCTGGAAGAGACAGTCTTAGTTTTCACACTGCTTCCCTTCTCTTCCGGTCCTGCTGGAGGCGAAACAACTTACCAAGGTGAGCGACTGTTGGCTTGGAGACCAACGGTGAGCTACAGTTACCTGAAAGATGAGGGATGCCAGGAGGACCTGCTCAGAGAGACGCTGTTGAGCTTAAAATCTAATTGATTAGTTTGATTAGCACTTGTTGTCTTTAAACAGTCTCAAATGATGCAACATAAAATGCATCTGGCTGCTTTCAGCAACATGTTGAAGCTGAGCAGTGCCATTGTCTACCATTACAAACATTAATATGGCAGTACCACGGTATCAGATGGTAATACCGGAGTACTTCACCATGATACTGAATTATCACCATGACACCTATGTAATTTGCATGGTACTCCAAAGTAGATTCACTACACCATAGTACTTTAGCAGTACTATTGTATAGTGTACATGCATTACCAAGAATACCACAATGGAAGTATAAAATGGAAATTTGTTATACACCATGGTACTGAATTATGTACCACATTATTTACATGGTACTTGAATGTACTTCCAAAAATGACTTCCGGTTCTTCTACGGTAGAACCAAGTCCAAAACCCCAAGATACTTTTTCGAGCTTGTGTTAGATTATGGATCAAACCTTTACTAAACAAACCTCCGCTGAACTTATAATATGCAACAATGCTATGCATTTAGTCATGTTGATTTAAATCCAACATTAGTGTTAAATATTACGCATCTCCATAGAAAACACAGCATTGAAAAAGCAGCTCGTTAACAGCTAACGTTAGCTTGCTAAACTTATAAAGTCTAAATCTATGGCTATATAGCTTAATACCTACATTCACAAATACAAGCATTATTCTCGAAGGCTTTCAATTGTAAGTTAATTGCAAATTAAAGACAGTTTTGACAGTTTCACCTCCTTCTTTAGAGGGGCCTTCGCTGCAGCACTTCACATTCGCCATCCTATGAATCTGCTTCAAGCACGTACGGCTATCCGAGAGGACAAAATACCTCTTCTTCTTCTTCTTCTTGTTAGTTTTATGGCGGATTGCAACCATGACATATCAGGTGCAAGTGAAAAACAAATTAATAGGATCATCATTTTCTAAACTCCTCTCCAATAAAGTCTCCTTCTTCTTCTTGTACGATTTAATGACGGTTGACAAGCCAACTTATGGTGTATTACCGCCACCAACTGGACTAGAGTGTGAAGCATTAACAGGAAAGAGGGAGAAAAAAGGGTGTATTAGTATGAAATTTAAATTCTACTTTCTAATCCTGTTATCTTCAGATAACTAAGGATTTCTCTCATAATACTTGTCTGTCCTGAGGCACAACTTAAAAGATTTGATATAGTGAAATTAAATACTCCTACGTTTCTCTGTTTCTTAAAGGGATAGTTCACCCAAAAATGAAAATTCTGTCATTAATTACTCGCACTCATGTCGTTTCAAACCCGTAAGACCTTCGTTCATCTTCGGAACACAAATTAAGATATTTTTTGATGGAATCTGAGAGCTGTCTGACCCTGCATAGACAGCAACGCAACTGAAATGTTCCCAAGTCCAGAGACGTAGCAA